CTTTGTGTTTGCATAATAAAATGAGAAATTATTTGAATACGCCTTATTTATTTGGTTTGCTACGTTAGAGTCTTGAGCAACCTCTAAATATTAATTTGCATAAAATTTGGACCCAAATGTAATGGCCGGATATGGAACCAAACACAGGGTTCTAATCTAGAGAATCTAAAAAAAAAAAAAAATAGCTTGGACCATCCTACAGTACACCTTTAAAATGTGTTGCCTTTCTTAGACGTTTTCTTTTTCCACGTTAGTATACACAAGAATACACACGTCTCCACTGTGGATAAGCTGTTGTTGTTTGCCCCATGTGTGCGGGTATATAACTGTATACAATAGTGTTATATATATAATACAATTTGCCTTTGTGTGAGACTGGACTGAATGTCCTGGTATTGTCTATTGGGGGTACAGGACATAGAAAAGATATAAGGCTATTGAGTAGAATGTTCAGGTGATCTCAGTGAACCTTCTTTATCCTATATCCATACATAAAGTAAAATGTGGATGGCAGTACTGTTTCGTTTTTGAAATCTTTTGTAAAGCCTTTTCTTTAACATCAATAGCAGTTGGAAATTATGGTAAACAAGGCTGGAGTGGGTTTCAGTGTGTGCGTTTATAGGCTGTGTGTCTCACATATGGTAATGTCAGATTGATTTTATGTAAATGCTATAATAATTGCATTTCTATTGACATCTGTTGAACTATGAAAAACAAAAGTACCTCCCACTCAAACCTTAAAGCGAGCTTGTAATGACACCTGCTTCCTTTAGCTACTCAATTGTTCTTTTATTGTTCTTTTGTATTTTATTTTTGAATGCATTTAAAAACATTCACAAATACAAAACTAGAGGAGAGGAATACATAAATAAAGAAAAATACATAAAAAGAAAAATGAAAAGAAAAGAATGTAACAATGATTGATAACTCGTGAACTGGATTTGTCACTTTTCCATTGAAAAGTCGATATAAAATGTAATTAAAAAATAAAGAGATACACTTATAGATTTTAGTGATTTATTTTTGAACAGTTCTTAGGCATTTTCTATGGATTGTGTTGAAACATTTGCAAGCTGCTAACATCACTGTAAACAGCTATGCTACTGAAACAGCATGCAAATACACTTTTTGGTCATTAACTTGGGTATCAAAATATGTTGCAGATTCGGGTGGTTTGACAAAAGCAGGAATGGGAGGAAAAGCTTTAACGTGATTTCCAAGCTTCACCTGTTGCATGCTTTGATATGAAACAGAAATAAACCTTCTATAAAGTGACTATTTGTGCTGTCAATTTTAATCTGTTTTCTAAAATGTTGATATATTGATGGTTTGTGTACATTGTCTTTAGGGTGTCTTCATATGAATAAGAATATATAGTGAGATTTTGGTTTGACAGACTGTTTGGTCCTGGTTTGAGGCCACTATAGAGCCAAAGGTGTTCATTTAGTCTTCTTATGTACTTTAACTTCTTGGGTTCTTTTTAAAGACAGTAATGCATATTTACCTTGTTGACATGTCTTATAGCTCAGTCTGATCGACAATGCCAGGTCCATCAGGCTGACCACGTCTACAGGAAGAAACAACAGCTGATATACGACACGTCACCACCAACAGCAGTGACAGTTCTGAAGATGACTTGCAGCAGCAGCCGAAACATGTCAACAAGGTCAATACACTTTACTGTATTGTCTTTAAAAAGAACCCAAGAAGTTAATGAGGCCACTATAGTCCTGATGGTTGGGACCTGTTGTAGTCCTGGTCTGGTCCAAGTTTCTGCTTTGTTTTAGGCAAATGGTAACTGGGATTTTTTTTTTTTTTTTTCACTTGAACACTGAGTTTTCACATCAGAAAGTTCCAGCTGAATTAACTCATCTGTTAACTCACTATGTGAACCTTGAAAGAAGGTTTTTAACCTCAGAGTAACGCTTTGTGGTATTACATCATTGAAGGGCACATATTAAAGTATTTTCTGATCTATGTTATATTGTTTTGTCATCAGTCATACTTAGAGTTTTGTTTTGCTTCATTCATATAAGTTTAACATACAAACCCTGCATATTTCTGAATTCTCTCAAAAAGTAAACACTCGTGATGTCATGTGGTAATGCAGGAAGTGCTCCACTGTATTTTTAAAGTCAAACACTTTTACTACAAACATTTGGACAATTTCAGTCCAAGAATTTCCTATCTCTACTAAACCAAAGGTAAAAGGTAGCTGTTAACTTGAAAATCTCTTCATGACATCACAAGGTGCAACAGAGCATTTTGAACTTTGGAGATGTAGACGATAATAAAGGGTTACTCAAATATGTGAAACAAAACACAACTCCAGATATATTTTTCATGAAGAAACAACATTATAACATGGCTTAAAACTCACAAGAGTCACTTTAACATAATATAGGACCGCTAAAATATGTCACAGTTTAACTTTACAGTTCAGCTTATGCAAAGTGGTGGCAGTTTCTTGATCATCTCCCACTTCACATGTGCCAATTACATTTTAACCAGTGTTCCAGGGCATTTTTTCATGGCCGAGCTGGGATATGCTCCAGTTACCAGTTGCGTAGAAAGCACCATTATTTCCCAGATTAGTACCAGTTTTGATTAGCTGTATTTATTTACCCTAAAATCTCCTCCATTTCCAGACTATTGAGCTTGCATCTGCTGCTACATCCAACTGAACTTTACATCTTTTGCTGTTGTCAATATTTCAACATTTAACAGCTTTCTAAAGACCTCATATCGACAGAAGAGAAGAAAAAAAAAATCCTTCAGGCGTTGCCACAAATGAGCATAAACAGGACTTGTGAATGTGTGGTTTTGCAGCATATGATCTCCATTCTGCAGAGAAACGGGAGAAGTGTGAAGTGCAGTCTCATCCATGTGTGAAGAAGCTCGGGTCTTTAAATCTCCGGGAGAAGATCAAAACAGCAGCTTTATTGATCACCATGGAAACAGAGGCCCTCACCATTCCGGAACAACGTGCGTGGGGGCCCAGATGTGCTCCGATCGTTCATGCATCTTTCATAAATACAGTAGACTTTATGCTGAACGATGCTGCTCTCCTTTTCTTGGCTCTTAATGTGGAAACGCTATGCTGTGACAGGGATTTGCCTATGTCAAACTCTCAGACGGAGGGTGGAATAATAATTTTAAAGGCTAAGCACAATTTCAAAGTTAAGAAAATCCATCGTGTACAATGTGTGGATAAAGTAAAAACAAGTTTATATTGATATTTGCAGCCCATGTCATCAACATTCCCTGGGGGTATGATACTGACTGTAGACACTGCTCTGTCTGAAGCTCTGTTACTCAAGTTAGACAATCTGACCGGAAAAAACTGACATAAAGGTGCACTGTGTAATTTACAGTTTTTCACTTAGTCACTCTCACCTTTTTGCTGAAAATCAAACACCTAAACAGGACCAAGAATGCTCCTATTGATCACAGGCCTGAAAATGTGCTGTTTAAATCAATTTAGTATTTTTTTCTTTTTCAGAAGTATCTGCTAATGGGTGCATTGTGTCTCCCTGGTAACTGATGAACATTCCACCGTATACAGACATGTAGAGTGTGATGTTATGGAGCATTCTATTGTGCTGGGGACTCAGGAAAAACTTAGCCAATTTCATTTCTCTCCAGCGACTAGGTCAGGAATCAGAATACACTAGACAGTTTGCAAGAATCCTGGAAACGTGAGCCCGGGCATCAGCGTATCAACAAAGAGCCATACATTCTGTGTTGGCAACGATTCCTGAGATCGAGGATTTAAAGCCGAAACGAAGAGAATGTTTGGTGAATTTTATCAAGGGGAAAGACGTTATTGCCCTTCTTCCTACGGGATTTGGGAAAATTTTAATATACCAGTTACCCCCAGTAGCAGCGCATTAAATACATCTCGACCAAATAGCATTGATTGGTTAAATTTAAAAAAGTACCCGCCTACCGTCAAGTGAACAAATTCTAACGCTGTAAGGTCAGATGGTTTCCGCAAAGTGAAACTGACCTCCGTCTCGAGAAAGAGCAACGAAATGGCCAATCAAATCAGGGTTCCAAAACACAAACTCTGGCTAATTCAGTGCAGATCAAGTCAGTTGGACATTAAACTTGCTTGGGCATTCGTATTTTCCCCAATTGTTGCAATGGAATGCATTTACAATGGATGTTGGGAGAACAGACTTTATTTATCCACTCCGACATTCACTAAAATGCAGCATTATTGCAGAGTAATCATACATTGAACTCTGTGCCACACTGAGTTTTATTTATATATACAAACCACTACCAAACGACTTAAAATTAACTATACTATTGCTGGTCTGGTATCATTGTGCAAGCCTGAAACTGACATTGGGTAAAGGTGAAATTACAGTTATAATTTCGCTGTGTCTTATTTAAAGCATGACTTAATTCATAATGAGCAAATAGTTTATTAAACGTTTATTACAACTGATTCCACCTTACTAAACTAACTAAACTGAAGGGGTTAGGTAGAGGAGTTAGAGTATATCAATTAAGGCTTAGTAATGGCTTAGGTATTAAATTATGTAAATTATTATTATAAAATCTTTATTCGTGTTGTAATAAGGTTATAACATTTATGACAAAGTTTAAGATAAACAATTTTTTAAAATATTTTTTATATGCAGAGTTTGCAGCAATTTTATTCAGCCTTCTGCCTTAGTGTCACTAATACAAATGCGCATAGGTACAACTTTTCTATAATTATTTCTCAGTAAAATGTATAATATATATATATTATATAATATAATATAATTGATACAAAATACCTTCCTCCATCTGAGAGTTTCACATCATCACATTGTAGAAACTAAAACGAACCAGAACTCTTTCTATAAAAAAAAATAATAATAATAAAAAATTTCTTTCAAGCCTTTCAAAATCTCAGTACATAGTGTAACTTTACATGCGTCAGACCTCTAGTCCATTCATTACTGTGATTGTCCCTTAAGGCATTGGTCTGGTCTGATGTGGTCTTATCTGTCCACACTGGTCTCTGCGAGTCTATTGTTCATGATGCCGAGGGCCCCCACCCCCCCAGAAAACCCGTTCTGTCTTGAGCTGGAGCTGGGTTGCCGTGGGTGACCGTTGGCCATTTCCGATAACTGCTTCTGCATTATGGCCAGATTCACCTGAAAACACACGAAAACAGAAGAGATTTATATGACCAGTCTTAGAATAGCGGTCACCACCTCTGCCTCCTCCATGCATGGTTTAGTCAGTCCTTTATTTATTGCCAGACTAAAGGGTAATAAAAACACAATACAGAGCACAACAATACAGTATTAGCAAGACAGTCGTAACAGAGTATCCAAAGGGAGGATGGTAAACACAATTCTATTCATTTGAAGGTACATAGAGAGAATTAAAGGCTATTTTCTGATCTATGTTATAATGTTGTTTCCTCGTGTGTTTTGTTTCATTCACACAGGTTTAACACACAAACCTCTTAATCTGAAAATGACTGCTTCATGACATCATAAGGTGGAACAGAGCATTTTGAGCTTTGGAGATGCAGACAGACTAATAATTAAGGGTTAGTCAAACATATGTGAATGACACAAATTGCAATTTCAGCTTTGTTTTTAAGGAGGTAATAGCTTTATAGGAATGCTTCAAGCTCACAAGGGACTATTTTGTGTAATATAGGATCTTTCATGTCATGGAACATTCCAGACAAAGTAATACTAAATGAGGACTGTCGCCATAGCCACAATAACATTTGTTGAATGATCAAAAGTTCCACAGAAGAAAGCTGAAAAAGATGAAGAATGGCTCCATGGAGATAAGCAGGTGGCTGACAGTTCAACAAAATAAATAAATAAAATAATGATACTGTGTGCCTTTAAGCAACAGATGGATTTAGCTTGCGTGTCCACAACTTGTAGACTTTGATTCCTCAGCTATTAAAATGCACATGTTTCAGCTCTGTATTTTGGATTTTAAAATAATCTCTTGGCCCACTGGCTGCGACAAACTGTACTAGTATTACTACTGTATACAGGAAAACTAGGGGGAAGATTGTAAACAGCAAATGAACTCTTTAACTTACAATTTCTAAGCAGAAACACGACTCTGAATGTACTGCAGCAAATTTAACTTTTAAAATACTGTCAGACACATTTTCATTTGTAACATATTTTATACCGTAAAGGGCCCATATTCCACTATTTTCTGATCTATGTTATAATATTGTTTCCTCACCACAAACATACATGGAGTTGTGTTTTCTTTTATTCACACGTATTTAAATGGACAGTGCGGAATTTTGAACATAGGACCTCATTTCCTAGTTAGCCAGAGTTAGAGACGTGTGGAGACACTTTTTTTAAATAGTGTTCTTGTATTTGCAGAGGTCAATGGTGCTAGGCTAGTGCATGTCAATGGCTATAGTTAGCTTGCCACTAAAAACAGTCTTACCCACTCCACAAAACACCCGAAGCAAATCTATTATTACGCCAGACTGTCGATGTAAATGTCTGTGTTGATAGAATAATGTTTGAAATGAAACTAACCTTGCATCACATGAATCGCAGCATTTTGAGGGACTATTTTCTCATATATCAGTCCCCTGCTGCCGAGCAGGGAGTAGGTAAGACTATTTTTAGTGGCAGGCTAACTATGGCCATTGACATGCACTAGCCTTGCACCAGCGACCTCTGCAAATACAAGGACTGGATGGAATATTTTAAAAAGTGTCTCCACACGTCTCCAACACTCTGGCTCACTAGGAAATGAGGTCCTATGTCCAAACCCTGCATATTTAGAGTTCTTCTCTCAAATGGAAAACACTCTGTTCCACCTTGTGATGTTCATGTGGTAATACAGGAAGTACATGTGTTTTTAATTTCCACACACCTTTGAAAGAATCATTTGGATAATGTCAGCCATACAATTGCTAATATCTACTGAACTGAAGGTAAAAAGTAGCCGTTAACTAAAAAAACTACCTCTTCATGACATCACAAAGTGCAACAGATAATTTTGAGCATTAACTGTTACTCAAAAGGTTGTAACAAAACACAACTCCAGGTATATTTTTGATGTGGTAATAACATTATAACATGTCTTACAGCTCACAAGAGTCAATTTTGTATAACATAGGACCTTTAATATAACGTATAGGTGTATGAAAAAAAAACATGGGTGTCTTTAATTTTAGCTGGCTTTGGATTGCACAACTTTCAGATGTGGTCACCCTATTTGACATTGAGAAAGTACAGACAGAGAAGAGAATGGTTGACCTATTCTTGTACCTTTAGAAGATTAAAGGAAAAAGTGGTTTCCAACAAAGAGGTGGCTGCACTCACAAGACCTTCAGATGAGTCACATGTTATTGTTAGGAGATAAAGACCATTGAATGCTCTTGTTTCAATATGTGTGTGAGAGAATTCTTTTGCACACTAATTTACTACTGAAGGTTTCATTATGTTTAATCAGGGCTAGTGCAGTTCTACATGTCTTCGGACAACATGAGGTACTTAAAGGTGCAGGGAATAAGAATGTCTAAGAATTTAATCCATAATCTCCAATACACTGAAACAATAGCTGTATTAAAGGAGCCATATTAAACTATGTTCTAATATATGTTATAATGTTGTTTCTTTATCACAAACGTATCTGGAGTTGGGTTTTGTTTCATTCACACACATGTTTAAGACACTCTATCACAACCACTTTTTGATGTCATGTGGTAATACAGGAAGTGCACCACTGTGTTTTTAAACTCCATAGACTGTCACTAGAATCATTTAGATAATTTCAGCAATGGATTTACCAAACTATTCTGAACTAAAGGTAAAAAGTAGTAAGTAACATGAAAACTACATCAAGGTGGAACAGAGCCTTTTGAGCTTGAAGATGTAGACAGAATTACTCAAAGGATTACTCAAATGTGTGTGAATGAAACAAAACATAATTCCAGGTATTTTTTTGATGAGGTAACAACATTATAACATGCCTTAAGACTCAATTTCGTGTAATAGGGAACCTTACGTCTATTCAGAAGCCATACTACCTGAAGAATGTATAATCTTGTCTGATTTCAGAAGCTAAGCAGCAACAGCAATGCACAATACTGTGAAAAAACACAATATTGCATACTTCTGTTGTGTCCTTAGGCAGTACACTTCACCCACACATGAATAAGGTGAGTGAGTAAGTGTTGGTGGTGGTTGGAGGGGTTGATGGTGCTGATTGACAGCGGCGCTTTCATCAGTTTACCCGAGGGCAGAAGTGTATACAGTATTGGTGTGGGGTGGGTGCATGAATAATTCACTGTGAAGCTGTCTTGAAAACCACTATCTAAATTCAATGCATTGTTATTGTAAAAATATTCCCTCATATCTTTTCTAGTGCAGGGTCCATCATCTGCTTCTCTCCATGGAGATATTGCTTGGAATATGCCACACTACACTTATTTATCTCCACAGGGCTAAGTTACACTTCAGATCTGTGAAGAGGTGAGCCCGTTATTAGTAAAAATGCAAGTTTTTAAGTTATGCTATTGAGTAAATGCAAGATGGCTATGGTTAATGCTATACTGGGACATTCCAGACAAAGCAGTTGTCATGATCCTCCAGTTTCTTCTTCCCCCCCTTTTGTGTTTGCCTGTGTCACTGTGTCCCCCCCCCCCCATACATCCATACCCACCTGTATAATAAAACACTTAACTTCACCTGAGTTTAGTTCTGCTTTTGGGTCCAAGATTTGCACTTCTGCAATTTATAACAGCAATATCATCTCCATGGAGACAAGCTGGTAGTGGACCCTCCACCAGAAAAGTTACACAGTGCACCTTTAAGAATAAAAGCAGGAAAGAGATATACTTCCACATTTCAGTCTGAATACATACTTTGAATTTGTTCAATATGCTGTCAGATCTCAGGACTCTAATGAAAGGGCTGTTGAAACTAATGTGGTAATATGGCACAGCATAATTATAATAATGTGCATAATATGAGTTCTTTGTTCAAGTGGGCTGCCAGTCAGGTTATGTAATATAACTTTAATGAGTATGATTTAGAGTATTTAATTTTGTAAAAAAAAAAAATTGTTAAGGGAAAAAGTCTGTGGTACGGCTTCGGAGGGAGTTGATGTGGGCATGATACAACTATTCAAATGACTGTACCAGATTTGTTTCCAAAGGCTGTGCAGAAATATATAAGTAGGCTGTGTAATATATGATAGAGGCACTGTTTGCCTTTTTGTGGTGCTTCATGGCAGAGAGGAACCCTTAGAGCCTACAAGGTATTCAGTGAAGGCCCAAGAAAAAATACTGAAAGAATTTTTGTACTACTAATATATTTTTCAGTGAGTAATAAGCACTAAACTAGTAATAACTTCTAGATAATTTTTATGAACCTGGACTAATATTTTTGGGGGAAACAAAGGGTTAATATAATGGAATGGAAATGGACCAATCACTATTTTTTTTCCAATGGTATCTGGGTAAATCAGTGACTCCCCCTGCAGCACTGAACTAAAGAAACACCTGCAGGGCCTTCGGTGACTGGAATGAAGAGATTGACAGTTGTCTTAGCCAACCATATTTCATTGAGTTATGGACGGGATCATATCACGACATTTTCTGGGCCTTCGTGAATACCCCGTGATAGCAAATATAAGCGAGCGAGAAATGCTCTGTGCTCGCTCTGTCCCGCCCTAACTCTCCACTGGCGGCATGTTACTGCTACAGGCTAATGAAAGGATAACAACAGAGCGGTGTGCTATACAGTTATGGCGAGTTCAACTTCAAGTCATAGTGGGTCCGAGGTACAGTTCTTAGGGAATAATATGTCTTCTCTTCAGCGGGACCCTTGTGCCAAGCAAGAAAAGAAGCATTAAGCTGAAATGAGTGCATTTGGCTGTGGTGGAATCCTACTGGCTAATAGCGGCTAGCTACTTTAGCTTAAGCTTCCACAGAGGAGAGCACGAGGGGAACAGCACCCGCAGTCGCCGCTGGGACCTGGGCCAGTTGCTGCTGGGGCTGGGACAGTCACTCACTGCTCTATCCGCCTCTGCCTGCTCGTTTCTGGGTGTAAAAGTAGAGCGTGGGCGTAGCGCAGAGGGCAGTCTACCTGGTGCCTTAGTGCTAATATGGACTGACCATAACTTTCAGATTTAAGTGGGA